AGCGGTCCCACATTAGGGTCTGATTGGTCGGTTCTATGCCAGTCAGCGTCACAAGCTCTGCCTCCTAGGCAGCCATTGGCTCCTGGCACTTCACCCAGATTTGGTTCTGAGTGGTCGGTTTCTATGCCAGTCAGAGTCTCTGGGCCTATCTCTGGGCCTTATCAAAGAGGCGGGGCTGATCAGCAGCCCCCGAGGAGGCCCAGGAGAAACAGAAGCGGGGCTACTGGAGAAGCCGGGAGAAAAAGGGAGAGGCAATGGCTGATCAACAGCTGCGATGGACGCTGTGGATTAGACCCTGCCTCTCTCTCTGCAGGCCTCTCTCTGGGCCTGATCCACAGCCCCCTTGGCAGTCAGTGCTGGGTTGCTGAGCCAGCACTGACTTCCAGTGTTTGGTCGAGCCTGCGGTCATTACAGACCCGTGCTCTTTATATATATAGATGCTTCTCTGGTTAAATTATAGATTTTTTTCTCATCTGAATATACTTTCATTAAGTCATATTTTCCCCCCAATAGCTCCTAAAGCTATATGTTTCTTGCTAAATAATCACAATAAGATATTAATGAATCTTTGATTTAGAATTACTTGCTGAATTTGAGATATGGCCAGCAAAATGCCTCTCTCCTTAACCAATATTAATGGAATGAATGATGAATACATTTTTGTAGAATGAATAACTAATGAATAAGTTCATTAACATACTGTGGCAATACTCTGTTGAGAAGTTTCACAGTCTATGAGGTATTTTCTTTCCCACCCTTCCTTAGCTTACTGATGTCCTCATTAATGAAATTCTCCACGGAGCGGATGGCACCAGCATCAAGTGTGGTGTTATTGGAGAAATTGGTTGCTCCTGGCCTCTGACTGAGAGCGAGAGGAAGGTACTTCACGCAACTGCTCATGCCCAGGCTCAGCTTGGCTGTCCTGTTATCATTCATCCTGGAAAGAATCCAAGTGCACCCTTTCAGATTATCCGAATATTACAAGAAGTAGGTATGGACATCTCCAAAACAGTTATGTCGCATCTTGATAGGTAAGCAAATTATGTACAAACTAGAGGACCAATGCACGAAATTTGCACAAGGGGCTCGGCCCTCACAGCCCTGGCTGCCTCGACCGGCCCTCGCAGCCCCTGCTAGCCCTCGACGCCCCTCCCAGCCCTGGCCTGCCCTCACAACCCCAGCTTCGTCTGGAAGGTCGTCCGGACAGTATAATTAGCATATTAGCTCTTTATTATATAGGATTAGTTCAAACCTCCAGATGATTATGGATGATTAGATGTGTAGGGGACAGCAAAGTAGCTGACTATATAAGCAGATGTTAGCTGGAGTTAATCTTGTGAATAAGCCTAACAATGTTGCAAAGGCTACACATTAGCCTTTAGATTGAATTGATTAAGGAATTAACACTGTATAAATGTATTAATACATTACAGTTACTTCTAAATTGGGTACATCTTGGGTATGAGGATGTGTTTTTCATTATTTCTGGAAAACCTCAGCCCTTGTCTTTTCAAATATTGCTTCATTCATATTTTCTTTATATTTGCATCATAAACTCCAAGTTGATATATGTAGGATCTAATTACCTGTCCTCCATGTCTCTTAACATCTTCTCCATATTTCCATTTATTTTCATCTTTGAACTGTAATTTCTTCAATTCTATCTTCCTATTTCTACTTCTGTCTCCATTGAAAGCGATCTGTTGCTTAGACTATCAATTTGCTTTACTAGTATAATACTAAGAACTATAGTTTTTCTTTATTTCTTTTCAAATCTGCATGGTTAATTTTGACACACGTTTTCCCCTTCAACATGTTTTCAACTCAAGTGTTAAAAAATATTGTGCATACAATGTTTACCTTATAATTAGTAAATCTAATTTCTATTTTCTTTTTTACTCTAACTTTTTAGTTTGTTAATTCTTCTGGCTCTTGTTCATATGAGGTTATTTCCTTGTATTTAAAAAATGTTTTGTGGTCTTTAGATTCCTTGAAAATTATTATGAGTCTTGGGTTGAGTACTGCCCCCTATTTTTTGTTTTGCTTTGTTTGTTTCTTATAGGTAGTTAGGGGGCACTTCTAACCTAGTATACTTTATTTATTTTTTAATTCTTTAATGTTTAAGGTATTACATAGAGTATTAAATATGCCTCCTTTTTCCTCCATTGACCTCTCCCCAGCCACCCCTACCCCCCAGCATATGCCCTCACCTCCCTAGTGTCTGTGTCCATTGGTTATGCTTATATGCAGGCATACAAGTCCTTTGGTTGATCTCTTACCTCCCCCTCCCCACCTTCCCTCTGAAGTTTGATGGTCTGCTCAATGCTTCTCTGTTTTTGTTCATCAGTTTATGTTGTTCATTATATTCCACAAATGAGTGAGACCATGTGATAATTATCTTTCTTTGATTGACTTATTTCACTTAGCATAGTGCTCTCCAAGTCCATCCATGCTGTTGCAAATGGTTAGAGTTCTTTCTTTTTTACAGCAGTGTACTATTCCATTGTGTAGATGTACCACAGTTTTTTAATCCACTCATCTGCTGATGGGCATTTAGGCAGTTTCCAAATCTTAGCTATTGTAAATTGTGCTGCTATGAACATATGGGTGCATATGTCCTTTCTGATTGGTGTTTCTGGTTTCTTGGGAGATATTCCTAGAAGTGAGATTACTGGGTCAAACTTTAAACTAAATTTTTTAAAAATTGTATAACTTGTGGTAAAATATATATAACATAAAGTTTAGCATCTTAAACATTTTAAAATATGTTTTTATTGATTTTAGAGAGAGATATAGGGAAAAGGAGAGATAGAAACCTCGATGAGAGAGAAACATCAACATGGATCCACTGCCTCTGGCACGCCCTCGGCTGGGAATAGAGCCCTCACCCCGGGCATGTGCCCTGACCAGAAATGGAACCCATGACCTCTCCATGCATGGGGCAACGCTCAACCACTGAACCACACCAGCCAGGCACCATCTTAAACATTTTGAAGCATGAAGTTCAGTTGTGTTAAGTACATTCACATTATTATGCAACCAATCTCCAGAATTCTTTTTATCTTGCGAACTGAAACTCTACACTCATTAAACAACAACTCCCCATTCCCTCTACCCTAGACCCATGGCAACCACCTGTCTCTCTTTATGAATTTGACTGCTCTAGGTACCTTATACAGTAGAATAATACGGTATTTGTCTTTTTGTGACTTTTGGAACTAAACTTTTGATTTGAAGGGTTTAGAACCACACAGGTGCTATGGATTCTGGCCCCTAAATTCAGTGAGTGCAGGCTTGTGGTTATGGATTCTCAGAGGAGACTTTTTTTCAACCGGCCTCCCTTTCACCAGAAGACAAGGTTAAAATGACATACGCTCCAAAGACTCCCTCTGTGGGCCAGTTTTTAACTAGTCCATCCACATGGGTGTTGCTTTTGGATGAGAGGAATGCTGCCTGTATGTGCTGGCTGGGGCTCTCCTGCCCGCTCTGGCCCTGGCTCTGTATCATGGGCCCATTAGGATCCCCCAGGATGGTGATAGTTTTGGGTTTCCCCTTACTGCTCATTTTTCCTGCTCCCTTGTTTCTGCACCCCAAGCACGTCCTTTATTTTCCCACCATCTGAACCAAGCAGTTAAAAATATGTTTTTCCTCCCTTTCATTGTATGCAGTATTTTACTTGTACTATCCTGGAAGGTTTTCTGTGAATGTTTAGTCTGCCAGACTGCCTGAAACTGCTTCTCAGTGATTATTATGGAAGAAGCTTGCTAGCGCTGTTTATAGTTAGACTTATAGGTAAGTTAGAAAATTATGCTTGACACTAATAGAAAATAAGTTTCCATTGGAAATTATGAAACAATCTTAACCCCTGGCATAGTAGAACTTCCTTGCTCATAGAATCAAACCATATACCTACAGCTACTCTGTGTCACTGAGCCCCAATCCACACTGGTTTTTACAGCCCGTAGTTCTTACTGCCCGTTGGCTCATAAAATCAATATAAAAACATTATATCTATATACTCCTTGTTCATTAAATCAAAGAACATATATACATATACATATATGTATATGCACATTTATATGTATTTTCTTTTAAACAATAAAGTTACACTATCTGATTCTCACTGGCTGCCATTTCAGTGCCTCCCTCTAGAATGGCTCAGGATGGGATGGAGAAATTGATCTGAGATCAGACAAACTCTGAGCATCCTAGAAAATCCTGAGGCCATTTCTAGAACAGCCACCCCTTCTGTGTCTATATTAGGGAATTTTCAGGTTCCAGTGCCTGGCATATATATATATATATATAGAAGGATGAACATTTCAGAGGAGAGGCAACCAGGGGAAATGGCTTTAGAAAAAGTAGCGCATTTGGAAAAACAAATTGAATAAAGTAACAGAAAAAAATAATCAGGGAGGCAGATGCAGGCACCTTTAGCTCTTTGAAGTGACTGTTCCCAGCAAGACCGTGGCCAGCCTGAGGTCTGACTAGGTCAGCCTTTCACAGACTCTCTGAGGTCTGCTGGGCGGCACACACAATCTGATCTTCACTGAAAGGGCAAGGGCGTGTATAATGGGGACAAATCACAAAAGGGCATGTATTGCATGCAACAAAATGCACAGACAGCACACAAAAAGGAAAGCATCCTGAAAACAAGGCCTCCAGGGGGAAAAAGAAACAAAAATACAACACACCCAGAAAATCATTCTGTTTCTCCCACCATGTTTCTCAGGCATAAAGGAGAAGGTTCTGAACCCACAGGCTGCTGTGATTGTGACGTAACAAGTCCAGGCGCTGGCTAGCCCCACGGCCCCTTTAGAACACTGGGCTTTCCAGTGGGACGCTCAGCTTTGACTGCCTATAAGACCGTTCATTTATCCCCTTCAGGTAGGATTTTTGTCATTTAAAAATATGCAATAAAATATTCCAGGATGTCCACATCGCATTGAAGCAATTAAATGTTTTTGAAAATATATGGGTCTTCACTAGCATTCATGCATAAGGCATTTCACCTTAAAATACATGCACACACACACACACACACACACACACCACACACACCGGCAGCAGCAACAACAGACTGCTGTATGCCTTTGGGACCTTGAGAGGGAAGAGTTAATGAATGGCCATCACCTTAGGACACCTCTGAACCACATTGTTGTCATGTGACCGTTTGTGACCTGCTTAAGGTCATTTACCTGGAGATAACAGCCTGACAAGATAAATCTGCTTCTGTGTCTGGGCCCTCCCCTGGCCATCTGTTCTCTTTAAGAAATATGGGCCTCTGGAAGTGCCCGTGGATGGCTGTGAATGTAACCCCAGGGAAACTCAGAGGGGGCTGCCCTTGACAGGCACAGCCACCCAAAGTCAACATTTATTGGAAAATAACACCAGCATTTCTATTCCTGTTTGGGCTTTTCATCCACAAAGACTTTATGCCTTTTAGTCATTTATTATAGTTCTACTACCTGTTAAAACTTCAGCCACATTTCCAGGTGGCACGGAATCACAGAACTGCTTTCTGTCCCCGGTCTAACAGGCTATATGTGACCAAGGAAGACACCCCACAGAGAGTCTTTTTGTGATTCATCTCCAAGGAAGTTCTATCCTTAATGTGCTAGAGAGTAGCTGTAGGTATTTTTATCTCAGCATAGTTCTTTCATTACCCAGGAAGTTGGGTGAAGCAACATGACTAGAAGGTATTTGGGTACTAACTATTTATCAATTACATTTTTTCTTTCTTTTTTTTCTTTATTGATTAAAGTATTACATACGAATTCGTGCACCTTGAAAGGAAATGTGGTAGCACAGGGGCAGGTCTCAGCCTACCCTCCGCACCACTGCCCAGCCCCTACCGCCATGGCCCCGGTCCCCATGGTCCCCTGTCTGCCAGCAGCCCCGCTCATGCCACTGCCGGCGCTCCCAGAGTGACTGAGGCCGGCACCAGCAGCAGATGCAAGCACCGGGTGGGACTGCAGCACACGGAGCAAAGATTTTCAGTAACCATCAGAGGCTCACCCTGATGACAGTG